ATGTATACATGCATGACACTTTTTGGTATAAATTATATTTTGAAATATGAAAATTTTGGATAAAATGGATAAATGAAATTTGATATATGGGTTGGGATTTTAAATTTTCAACCATTGATCAAACCACAACACTTGATGGTGCACCATTCACTACAATTACTCACTCCTTCAAGAACATAAGATTGTTGACAACAAACAAACATATAAGAGATCCAATTCTTTCATTAGTCGGTTTTGATGGTTGTACTTTTTCTGTAGTTAAAAAAATGTCAATGCCTCCATCACTAAATTGAAAGTCGTATATAATTGTAAACAATTTTCAGCCGTTTTGACCCATGAATTATGACCCTAAATGAACTTAACCCTTTAAACTAAAAAGTCAGCCAATTTAGTCCCCGAATTAAAAAATATCGCCAATTTCACCCCTACCATTAAAATTTTCAAACTTCACTCACTTTTCGATCCAAAAAGTCACGTGTCATCCATGTGAGTTACTATTTAATTTTTTTACTATCTAAAATGAAATCGGAAAAGAAAAAAAACAAAAACAAAAACCCACTAGCGCTTCCACCCCTACCACAAGCTTCTCTACTTCCCTGACGCACCACAACCAGAGGCTTCTCACCTTCTCTGAATCTCCCTCTCTTATAACCTGTGAGACGCAAGCTGACACCATCGCCGAATTCAAATTCGTACTCTAGCTCCAACTCGCAATGGTTTTCACTAAATTTGAAGTCCAAGGGTGCAATTATTGGCCCCATTCTCCTCAGCCATAGGTTATGTACATTCTTCATTACCCGAATTTCCTTCGCTTTTGCGGATGATTAATTGGTGCTTGGTCAAGAAATTTGGGAATTAGGGTTGGGTTGCATGGAAAATATAGGAAAGGAACCCGGAGCACTATAGAGGTCTTGGTCAGGTGGTGGGATGGGGCTTAGAGGTGGGAATCGGGACCGAAAAACCGGAACACTGAACCGAACCAGTGAAAAAAAACCGGAAAAAAAATTGGTTGACCAAAAAAGTCAACAAACCGAACCGAACCGGTTCCAGTTCCGGTTTTACACAGCACCGGACTTGTCTTTTTTTTTTTTTTTTTATAACAAATTAATAAAATCTAATGCCATATTTTAAATTTTATAATCACTATTTTTCGAAGTTCAACTTCAAAATTTTCTAAATGTATGAATTGGATTATTTGTTAATTTTTAAGCAAAAAAAAAAAATTTATTTATTATAATTTTTTTTTTAAAAAAAACTTAAAATAACCGATTCAAAACCGGAACCGGTCAGAATCGAGCCGGTCGATTTTTGAAATTTTTTTGCCAAAATCGGACCGAACTAGACCGATTAAATAGTACCAATTTCGGTTCCAGTTTGAGGTGAGAAGTGGACCGCACCCACCCCTAATGGGGCTGTGGGGTGTTAGGGCTAAGTTTTTAAAATAAAATTATAAATATAATTAAATAAGGCTAGGATATTACTTAATTGCCAGTATTAAACTAAACAAGCTAATTTTGAATTAAAAAATATAAAACAAAGTGCATAAATAATTAATTACTATTTATTAAGTAATTTATGAAATTAGTAAAATATTTAAATACTAATTATTCATCAAAGAAATAATACTTAAAACATAATTACTCGTTAAAGCAATTACAAAGGGCAAAGGTATTACTTTATTACAAAAAAGAAACCATTCGGCTATACTGTTCAAGTACAGCCGTACGACTATACTCTTGATATATATATATATATATATATTTAAGCAGTATAACCGCGTGGCTACTATGTAAATATTAATATTAATTTGTTATCATCACGAATTAGGTTATTCTGTGAGATGCAGAGTTGAAAACAAAAGTCAATCAATAATCTTAACATTCCATGAATAAATCAATTACTTCATTAGCAAGGCTTCAATACTATATGATCTGAAGAGAAGTTAATTTAAAATCTTTTATTGAACAAATAAAAACAAGAAAAAGATAAAAATGACATGTTGATAATTCAAGTGGAAGAAGCTTAATAGGCCGCAAATTCAATAACAAATCACTTAGTTCTAATTCAACGTCAAGATTTTCAGAATCCGACGCATAGTTGTCAATGTTTGACTATCTAAATTATTTAAGATAAATAAATATTATTAATTAGTATTTATTAATTAATTTATGAAATTAATTAAAATACTTAAATACTGATAATTCATTAAATAAAGAATAATTAAAACATAATATAATTAAATCAGACGAAGATATTACTTAATTGCAAATACTAAGTATAAAAACTAATTTTGTATAAAAACTAAAAATCAAAGTCAACAAAATAATTCATTACTATTTATTAAGTAATTTATGAAATTAGTAAAATATTTAAATACAAATTATTCACCAAAAAAATAATAATTAAAACATAATTACTAATTAAAATAATTAAAAAGGGCAAAGATATTACTTAATTACAAAAAAGAAAACCATTTTGTGCAGTATATACTGCTGAAATAGTAATAGGTACAGCCGCGCGGCTATACCTTTAAAATGTTCAGATTTAAATATCATAGCCGGCCGGCTATACGTTTAATACAGAAAACAGAACACTTGATGGAGTAAAAGAAAGGCTACATTTGTTTCAAGCAGATTTGTTAGTTGAAGGATCTTTTTGTTAGCATACAAAGACTGTTATCTTGTATATAAGCTTCAAAACTACAAACAATGGAGCTAAAGATCTTAAGGGAATGAAAGATTCAAGAGAGAGAGATTTTCAGAGAGAGAGCTTGAAGAAGAAGCAAATGAATTCATATATTCATTCACACACACACACACTGTGCACAAATAACCGTTGGAAATAGAATATTCCCTCATTACATCATTCAAATCTAGCCATCCATTCATCTACTCTATAAGATAGTGACATATGGCATAAACTATCACTTACTTTAAGATTACATCTTAGCTGTCCAATTGGAATGTAATCCAATGGCTCACATTTAAATCTGTAAATTTAACTAAATACAAGTTAATTTAAGCTAAAGAACTTATATTTCAACACTCCCTTCTAAGTGTTTAACTGAGATTACTCCAAACTTTCTTCTCAGATATTCAAATCGGTCCCTGGCCAATGCCTTGGTAAAACTATCTGCAGTTTGCTCTTCAGTTTTGCAGTATAATAAATCGATCTCTCCATTTTGCAATGCATCTCAGATGAATGAAATCTCCTGTTTATATGCCTTGTCTTATGATGATGCACAAGATTCTTGGTTATGACTTTAGCTGAGGTATTATCACATAGAATTGGAGTAGCACCAACCTATTCTTCACCAAAATCTGAGAGAACAAATCTCAGCCAGATTGCTTGTGCAGTGGCTTCTACTGCACTAACATATTTAGCCTCTGCAGTGGATAGTGCAACACTGCTTTGCTTGACTGATGCCCAAGAAAATACACTTGATCCAAGACTAAATGCATATCCAGATGTGCTTTTCATGTTATCCTCACTCCCTGACCAATCACTATCACAATAGCCAATGAGCATTGCTTCTTTCCCTTTCTCATATGCTATACCATAATCAAGTGTGACTTGAATGTACCTAAATATTCTCTTGGAAGTTCCCATATGTTTTCTGGTAGAACCATGCATAAATGTAGTCAAAAGACTTGCTGCAAACATGATGTAGGGCCTTGTTGCAGTCAAATATAGCAAACTTCCAACTATCTGCCTCTTTACAATTTCATCAGCTTGTTCACTTCCATCCATCTTAGATAGTTTTTCATTCACTGTAAGAGGAGTAGCTTCTGGTTTACAATCTTTGAAACTAAACTTATCCAGCAATGTCTTTGCATACTTTTTATGATGCAAGAAGATGTAAGACTCAGTTTGTATCACACCTAAACCCAAGAAATGATGCAATAACCCGAGATCAGTCATTTCAAATTGTCTCATCATCTCAGTTTTGAACTCCATCATCAATTCTCTTGAACTTCCAGTGTAAATAATATCATTCACAGCTTCCATACCCCAAAAACACACATCTTGTGCTAGCCAAATCGAGCTTTTGTCTCTGTTGATTTGGAACATGTGCATAGCACAAAGAACCAAACACCCTTAAATGTTTAATTCCTGGCTTTCTTCCACTATAGGCTTCAAATGGAGTTTTCTTGTCCAAAGCCTTAGTTGGACACTTATTTAAAATATATACTGCAGTGTTAACAGCTTCAGCCCAAAACTCTAGTGGCATTTTCTTCTCAAACATCATACACTTAGCCATCTCCACAATGGTCATGTTCTTTCTTTCAGCCACACTATGCTGCTGTGGTGAATATGCCACAGTGAGTTGCCTTTCCATTCCCATTTCTTCACAGAACCTATTGAATTCAATGGATGTATACTCTCATCCTCTGTCGCTTCTCAATTTCCTCAACTTATATCCACTTTGCAGTTCAACATTAGCCTTAAACCTCTTAAAGACATTGAATACTTCAAACTTGTATCTCAAAAAATAAATCCAGTACATCCGAGTACAATCATCTATAAAAGTGAGAAAGTACCTATTTCCAACTTTTGTAACAGTATGCATTGGACCACAAATGTCACTGTGTATAAGTTCTAGAGGAGTTGATTCTCTAGTAGTAGCTTTCCTTGGAAATGCCTCCCTGCATTGTTTACCTAGAACACAACCTTCACACACTCCTTTAACTGCTTTGATTTTTGGTAAACCTACCACCATTTCTTGTTCCTGCATCAACTTCAAACTGCTCATGTTTCAAATGTCCCAATCTCCTGTGCCACATAGTAGTAGAGTGACATACACTCGCCTTGTAGGCAATGTGTATTCCAGGCTACAACTTCATTGGAAAACTTCGATTTCCTCTCATTTGTAGTTTTGCAACCATGTTGGAATATGAACTGTCATCATAGATTTCCACCTTGTGATCTCCAAAAACCAAGTAGTAGCCATGCTCCATCATTTGACCCACACTCGCCTTGTAGGCAATGTGTATTCCAGACTACAACTTCATTAGAAAACTTCGATTTCCTCTCATTTGTAGTTTTGCAACCATGTTGGAATATGAACTGTCATCATAGATTTCCACCTTGTGATCTCCAAAAACCAAGTAGTAGCCATGCTCCATCATTTGACCCACACTGAGTAAATTTTCTTTCAGTCTAGGCATAAGCATAACCTCCTTAATGTATCGCTTGCCTATTTTGGTTTCAACCACAAGATTCCCTTTACCAGTCACTTCAACAAGTTGTCCAGTACCCATTTCAACCTTTGCAGTCACATTCTTGTCAATATTAACAAGTAAATCCTCCCTACCTGTCATATGATTACTACACCCACTATCTACATACCATACATCATCATATCCTTTTACACTAGTATTAGGTTTATTACTAGCGTAAAACATAGTTGGTGTAGATTCTACCTGAGTGGCATATTTGAGTTGTTGCACTGGTTTCTCTGGTTTTTTACTATAGCAGTCCCTTGCAAGATGGCCAAACTTTTCATAGTTGTAGCACTTTGGCTTGCCCTTAAATCGACACTCACCAAAATGCAGTTTGTCACAGTGCTTGCAAGGATTTCTAGCACCATCAGTGGATTTGTTATCCCACTTTTTACCTTTCGCCTTCCAATTCTTTTGGTCCTTAGCACTTTGATTTCCAGTGGACTTATCTGGTTTGGGATTCACACTAAGACTAGCAAATGCTCTTTCAATTTTGTTTTCAGAATGCCTATCTAGCATTAACTCAAAACTCTTCAAAGAGGCTACCACTTCTTGTACCTCAATCATATCCAAATCCTTCGAATGCTTAATAACATAACAAATGGAGTCATAAGCTGATGGCAAACTAATTAACAACTTTTGAACAACTCGTTGTCGAGATAATTCCTCTCCATAGCTCCACATTTGATTTATTATATCAAACAGTTTTGTAAGATAAACAGAGAGTGATTCATCATCTCTCATTCTTGTATATTCAAACTCCCTACGAAGACCTTGTAGTTTAACACTTCTAACCTGTTTATCACCATGGAATTCTTACATCAAGATATCCCAAGCTCCCTTAGAGGTTTCTTCGTGAGAGATCCAAGGAAAGATCTCATCTGAAACTGCTCCTTGAATCAGTCCCAGAGCTTTAGCATCCTTCATGAATACCTCTGTGAGATTCATCTACCCAGCATCACTTGATTCTTCTTTTTCTTTCTTCTTTGCATCGGATTCATCAGCTCCCTTCGAATCTGAGCACTCTACTCCCTTCTCAACAAACTCCCATAACCCATGAGATTTGAATATAGTTTTCATCCTTATGCTCCAGAAATCATAATTCTTGCCGTTGAAGATCGACGCTCTCAGCTCACCACCTCCAGACCCTGCCATGTTAGACATAGATCTCGCAAACAATTTCTTCAAATCTCAACTCGTTTCCTTCACATATTCAATCGCCCAGAGTTAAACATCAAACTTGGATCTAAGGCCATGTTAGCATACAAAGACTGTTATCTTGTATATAAGCTTCAAAACTACAAACAATGGAGCTGGAGATCTTAAGGGAATGAAAGATTCAAGAGAGAGAGATTTTCACAGAGAGAGAGCTTGAAGAAGAAGCAAATGAATTCATCTATTCATTCACACACACACTGTGCACAAATAACCGTTGGGAATAGAATATTCCCTCATTACATCATTCAAATCTAGCCGTCCATTCATCTACTCTATAAGATAGTGACATATGGCATAAACTATCACTTACTCTAAGATTACATCTTAGCTGTCTAATTGGAATGTAATCCAATGGCTCACATTTAAATCTTTAAATTTAAACTAAATACAAGTCAATTTCAGCTAAAGAACTTATATTCCCACTGACCCCCAGGTTCATTCCTCCCACATATACTTCAAATACCATTATTGTCTTGCCGATTGCTTAATTACATGTGTGTCGCCATTTGTGTATTTTCTTAGAGAATAAAACAAAACTCGCAAATGTTTATATTTTTTTTAATGTAAAAACTACAATGATGCTTTTTCTCCACATCTCAGGAAGAATTACTATACCCTGCAGTGAAGGGCACACTAAATGTTCTAAAATTGTGCGTAAAATTCCCGACTATCAAGAGGGTAGTTTTAACATCTTCAATGGCTTCGGTTGTGATCGGTGGAAAACCTTTGATCCCAGATGTGGTAGTCGATGAAACATGGTATTCAGATCCACTTGTTTGTGAGGATTTGGAGATATGCAATTTATTCTTTTGTTACAAGTATATATGGATCCAATTTTGTGCATCATGATGTTCAAGATGTCTAAGTAGTTGCCTTCAAAATTGCTTTAAACGGCTCAGTTTGTTTTAAATCAATGAATTTTATTCAAATCAAGAACTACCTTTTCTTTCTATATGTCCAGGAATGGTATTTTCTTTCAAAAACTTTAGCTGAGGAGGCTGCTTGGAAATTTGCTAAAGGAAATGGGATTGACTTGGTTGCACTAAATCCAGCATATGTGATCGGTCCACTCTTGCAGCCAACTCTTAATGCCACTGTGGAAATGGTTCTGAATCTCAAAAATGGTACACTTAGGCAAAACTATCTTTTTCTCCACCACATAAAAACTTTATTCATTTTTTAAGTAGCTAGGAATGTCTATTGAAAACTAATATCTAATTGTTGCTTATAAACATAACAAATCAAATTTAAAGTTTTAAGTCATTTGAGAACAAAATTAATTTGTCCATAGCTTCTACAATTGTAGTTGCATAGTGAATTAAGCCAATTAACATAACAAATCAAATTAAAAGCCAGGGCTACTAACCTTATAAATATATTTTTTCTTATCCCACGAGTCAAGGCACACAAAGATCTTCTGTAATGCACAAGTTCTTAAACTACAATAGGCAAATCTCCACCACATAAAAAGTACTTTGAATAGAATCCACATTCGTTGTACTTCATCTTTCCATTTCTGTCGTTGTTGAGAGCAGTCGCCGACTTGGACATCTTTAGCTGACTTTGCCCCCATGGACATTTTTGTCGTTATTCAGCTCATTTCTATCACCGTAAAAGCCCACCAACACCATATATATTAATACTAAAAGCTTCACATATACAGAGACACAGAGAGAGAGAGAGAGAGAGAGAGAGAGAGAGAGAGAGGGGGAGCAGAGAGGGGGGGGGGGGGTGTGTGACAGGCGCGTGTGGCATCATGGCTGGTGAAGCTCTTATTACAATGCGGTTACACTGTCAAAGCCACGGTTCGTGACCCAAGTCAGTATATATATCATTCCCTAATATTTTATTTCTTCTTTTTTCTTCATTAAAATTTGCTCATATAATAATTTGCAATTCTTAAATAACATATAGTATTCATGATTCTTCAAGTCAAGGTATATATTAAACATGGGTGCATGTTGGAAAGAATATTTCCATTTTGGCATCAGATGTAATTGGATATGAAATTTTAAATTGTGAATAAACTTATGATTCAAAAAATAAAAAATAAACTTATATTCAAAATTGAAACTTGGAAAGTATCCAAGAACTATTTTTTTTTTTGGTAAACTGGAGGGGATAAACCCCGAACACAACAACTAAGAAGAATCAGAACAAACTAATCTAGCTTTCGCTACACCAAGAATATCATCAAGGAGAAGAGAACCAATCCAAGCAGGAGCTTCGTCAAAATAAAGGATACCCAGGTCAAATTATTACACTTAGTGAATAGTGACCTTTCTAATTAACATCTAACTCTTATAAATCTTAAATGGTGAACTCTAAACTTAGTATGACTTATTTGGTATTCAACTTGAATTCAACTTTTTAAACTCAAAAACAGAATTTGAGTCCAAAACAAAGAAAACCTATTTGGTAGCTCTATTTTTAAAAACTCAAACTCAAGAACAACTAAAAAACACCACAATTATTAAAAACAAAAAATATCAGTTTTTTAAGTTTTTTTCTAACAACCCATAAGTTCTCAAATTTTTAAGATTTGAAAATAATTTTCAAGTTGCATACCAAACAAGTTTTTGAATCTTAAAAATAGATTTAAGAACGGGTGGTGATTTTCCCACTCCTCTTTTGTCTACTTACACTCCATTTTATTTATGTATAATAGTTTTTACTATAATAAAAAAGGGAGTGTAAATGGACAAAAGATGAGTGGGAACATACAATTTTTAACAAAGGGAGTGTAAGCGGATAAAAGAGGAGTGAGAAAATCAGCTCCCTTAAGAACTCCTTGTTTTTAAGAAAAATCAAAGTTTTTGAGTTCTCTATTTGAATAGGATACCAAACGCCCCCTAAATGTGTTGTTGAGTTTTGTGTTGACATATTGTCACATGATAGGTTACACTTATACCATATTCTCTTCCACACAATATAGAGAGAAATTTTGATATTCCTCATTTGCAGCTTGGAAAGTATTGCATCAATATACCCTTGTAAATTATTGAAAAAAAGGAATAAGTAAATTCTTTTTATTTCTTTATTTCTATCTATCTCCTCATTGAGTTGTGACTAGAGGTGTCAAACGAACCAAGTCAAGTTGTGCACGGTATGAGGCCAACCTAATTAAATATGGCCCGGCACGACACGAGCCCAATCAAAGTCGGGCTTGACACTGGCCGACTCGATGAATCGGCTTATTAAAGCCCCATATATTATATTATATTTGTTTTTAAAAGAAAAATAGTACATCACAATATTAAATTTGTGCCCATTTTTTAAGTAACATATGTTAAAAATTAATGATGTCTTTATAAATTAAATAATGACACTTTTTTTTAAATTTCAATCTTTTAAACCAAAACAATAGTCTAGCCCTTGGGGCATATCGAGTTTTTGAAATTTCAATTTTAATGTAATATATAAGCTAATGTTTTTTTTAAAAAAATAAATAGACACGCTTGGCTCTGCCTGTTTACTAAGTGGGTTGGCTCGAAGTCTTAATGCTCGACTCTAAAAGGGCCTGTTCGGTCCGTTTGACACCTCTACTCTAATCAACCTACATCCATGTGTCTTATTACATAATGTTGGCGTATGTCTATACTTGTGCCATAAGCACTTAGAGCATTCATAGTGGTGGGGTGTATAATAGTGTGTATCTTAAATATACACTATTTGTGATCGGAATCACCCGCAATGGGGAGGTGTAAACAAGTGTAAATTTGCATCACCACCATGAGATGCAAATTTAGATGTACATGTACATCTTTTTTTTACATCTCTTGCAGGTAGGACCCAGCTGAAAAGAGGGGAGATAAAGTGGAGAAAAGTCAGCAAAAAAGTTGTAGGACCAAAATTCATATGTGGGCCCAATTTTTGGTTGTCATTTCCCCCCTCCCCAAGGCTACATTGCAACACCAACAACTTTAATTTTCAAAAACAGCCAGCTTTAATTTTTTTTGCAAATCTCCACCACATAAAAAGTACTTTTAATAAAATTGTAGAAAAATGATAACCAACGACCACATTCGTTGTACTTCATTTTTGTCGTTGTTTAGTAGCCGCCGACTTGGACATCTCTAGCTGACTTTGCCTCCATGGACATTTTTGTCGTTGTTCAGCTCATTTCTCTAACCATAAAAGCCCACCACCACCATATATAATAATACTAAAAGCTTCACATATACAGAGAGAGAGAGAGAGAGAGAGAGAGAGAGAGAGAGAGATATGAGCAGAGAAGGGAGGGGGGTGTGTGTAACAGGAGCGTCTGGTTTCATAGCATCATGGCTGGTGAAGCTCTTATTACAACGCGGTTACACTGTCAAAGCCACGGTTCGTGACCCAAGTCAGTATATATATCATTCCCTAATATAAGAGGAGTGGGAAAATAAGCTCCCTTAATAACTCCTTGATTTTAAGAAAAATCAAAGTTTTTGAGTTCCCTATTTGAATAGGATACCAAACGCCCCCTAAATGTGTTGTTGAGTTTTGTGTTGACATATTGTCACATGATAGGTTACACTTATACC